CCCCCCCCCCCCCCCCCAGCTGTCATTCCCCCCCTTTTTTCTCGCTTTCTTTTTGTTTTGTTTTGTTTGTTTTATTCCTTCAACAGTATCACTGGCTTAACTAAACAGAGGAAACATGAATGAATGAAAAGAGTGAAATCTTTAACGAGCACCTTGCTCTTGGTCCTGCCTGGTATTGTTGGGGATAGCAGGAGATGTTAAATAGCTTGTGAATGAGATGGGAATGAGGGAAGGGGCTCTGAATATTTTGAACAGAACATTATTCTGCCTGGAGTAGAAGAAGAAAATCTTTTCTGCTCACTTCTAAGTGCTGGGGGTTATCAACACTGCCAAGAGGTCTGACAGGCACAAAATAGCACTGTTGTTTGGAGGGCTCTATAATACATGATACACTCCCCAGCTGCAATATGCAGGCACTGAAAGCCTAAGCAGGAGTTGGTACATATATGTGAGATGCCATGGTAATGCCATGTAATATCCCTGCTTCTATGCTATACTTCTGTGCCTGGAAGTTCTTGGGTAGATATATTTAGGTTTGGGGTTAATCAAGCAATGCCTGAAAAGTGCTTTGAATGTGAAAAGTCTTACATGTCATCTGGCCAAATCATACTTGCTTCTGACTCAGGCAAATCCCTCATCGATGCCAATAATAATTCTGTCTGAGTGAAGGCTGAGTAAGATCTACATTTGGCCCATTGTTATTAGAAGGCACTTATTACTTCATTCATTTAAATCACGGAGAGCAATCATAATATTAGAATAAGACATTGGAAATTAAAAGAAATCTAAAGCACTACAAGAAGCAGGAGTTTCAACTAGTGTTAGTAGCCCCTTGTCAGTTTATGCCCCGGAGGGCTTTGCCCTGTAGTGAAAAGGCATTCCCTGTGCCACTGCTATGGCTTCAGGTTGCCTTTACATTCTGTATCCTCTTCGTTCTGTTCCTTACACAGCAAAGTTGAAGTTTGCAAACTCACTTACATTTGAATTTGGTAATGGAAAAATATAGCTCTAACTATAACTTTTGAGCTTCTTCCCTTTCAGGCATTATCTTGCACAGATTTTCTTAGAGCAGCTCCTTCTTTTTTTAGTGTTTACCCTCTTTCTTTTCATTCCTTTCATTCTCTCTCTCGCACACCTCTGTCTTCTCAGATAGGCTTACCTCCTACCCAGCAAATATTCAACTCTCAGTATATTATTGTCAACCGTTGTATTTCACAGTGGAAAGGAGTAATTTATAAATATAAGCATTGAAAGGTCTCTAATTTCCATGAGATGACTACAGGCACATGGGCTAAGAGACAGGCAAGGAATTATAGGTAGAGTAAATGAAACATACAGAAGTAATTGAACAATCAACCAAAGTCTTACAAATGTTATATATTGCTAGTCCTTTTCAATTAAGATCTTTTATAAGTCTTTTACTGTTATAAGGCATCCACAGTACCCCCTCATCTGTGTTTTACTGACCTCAGTTGCTATACTGTTATATACTGTTACACTTACAGGTCTTTCAGCATTATAAACCCTGCAGCCATTCTTATAAACACATCCTTGTAACACAAACCTCTCTATAATACATCGAATTTTCTTGGATCTTGCGAACAGCCCAAAGTCTGTTGTAATTATACGAAGTCTGAAAGTCAGCTTGAAATAGAACTAAAAGTTTAATTGGATGAAAAAATAATTTCAGATGAAAATATGCATTCATGATTAGATGTACTAACAGATGACATAATTAAAGGAGTTATATATAGTTCTAATATAGCACCTATCCTAACAGTATCTGATGAAAAGTAAGGGAGAGGCATAAATCAAAATAAAATACAGACAAGTATGTCTGGGTTCTTGCTGTGGGGTATAGGTTGCTTGCCATATACTACAGGTACAGTTATCGCATACAATCTCTGTTACATAGAGGTATAGCATATTTTGCTTGCATGCCATGATGATGACAGATTTAATGTAAAGCATAACTTTCTAAAAACCACTGTTTTATAAAAGCGAGTCTTCCAATACCGCTGATACATGGTTTATTTGTACTTACATGTATATGCATATATGTACAAAAACACATACAGAAATGTGTTTGAATACATACAGAAATGGTGGTTCAGACTCTTTCTACAAATTACCTGAACTGCAAAGTTCTGTATATGCATTCATTCAATATAACCCTAACAGTATGCAACAGCATGCACAGGAATTTAAAGTTTCAGTTTTAAAGGAAAAAAAGCTGATTGAAAGTTTTACCTCTCTAGTCCTGACTCTCAGAAGGAGACTGCTGTATTGTGCTTTAAGAACTGCTGAAGTTCCTCTTTGTGGTACTTAAAATGCGAAGCTTTATACTGTACTTCTCATGTGTACACTCACATATAACGTCTGTCAAAAGTGGGCCGGATCACTGTGCTGGATTGGTTAATCCTGTTACATCAGCAATTGACTGTTTTTCCTGTATGAGACACACTTCTGGTAATTATCTAATGGAAACTCCTAATTCTCTAGCATGACAAAATATCGTGGATCAACTTGTAGTGGTGATTTCTGTATCCATTTAAAGACTAGAATTTAAAATCAGACAAAGCAAACATTATGAGTCAGGAAGATACACTCTAACTTGTTGTATTGCATAGCTAGATAGAGATATTATTAGATGTAGATAACACTGTTCTAGTTCAAATACAGTATTTGCCAGATACTTAATTACTACTTTGCAAATTGTTTTCTTCTTCTTACATACTTAAGGATATACCAGATAATCTTTCTGCAAATTTGGATTCTTTTCAAATTCAGGAAAATGCATTTGAGTAAGAATTCTTTTGCTTTGGATGACTTTTTTTTAAATTCAATCTCTGAATAAATATCTCCTTCTGTTTAAATTAGGGATCCCTTTAAAGCTCTTTAAAAAATGAATCATATTGCTCCTGTCCAAGTCTTCTGGCTCCTTGACGTGCAGATTGCATCACACTATTAAAAACTGTTTAGACATCTAAAAATAAATTACAATGAATGACAGGTCACATTTTTTGCAAGTGTGGTATGAACATTTGTGGAATAAAAAAGCAATTTTCATTTCAATTTACATTAATGAAAATCAGAAATAACTATGCCAATTAGGCAGTACAGAAGTAATACATAAAAGGTCAAAAGTAAATCCGAAATCCATCTCCTTTCTTAAACACATATAATAACTGGCTTTATGTGGTACCGTTTATGACAAATGGCATGATCATGCAGTCTTTACTCATTCATAACACCCACTGATTACCAGAAAATCCCCGTCCCTCAGATTTTATTTTTTTTTTTGGCCTGAATCGTACTTATATTTTTATGTCCTGTTGGTAATGTAACTTTAATCTGTCTTGGAATATGGCTGATCTGGATCAAAGAAAGATTTCAAACTTTCAATTTACAGTGATACCGGGGAGTCCTTATAGCAGTGTTGATCCCAACTGGTGTGTGTACTGTATTCACACAACAGCTTTAGTAGAATTAGAAAAAATCAGAAGTTAATGGGAAACATATGATCAGATAGGTTGTTTTGTTTCCCAATTTTAATACGCATATAATAAGTGAAACAGGTTGCAGTAGCTTTTCTGCAATCTGAGTTTGGTGTTCCAGTTGTTACAAAGAGCAGCGCCTTTTTTTTTTTGTTTTGTTTTGTTTTTTTTAATCTTTTGCTTTTTTTGCCTTTTTTCTTCCTCCTATTTTTTTCTTCAGGGACAGTGAGACACTAGCTTCAAGAAACAAGATAACGAGCATGTATGTACCTAGTTAGTCACAGGACTCCATTTTTAGTGGGGGATCCTAAACCCAAGTTTCGCCAAATTACTTTTCCACCTTGCAGTCCTGTTTTCCTCAGGACCAGGCTGACTTTGGTTTCAACCGACACCCTAAAACTTTTCGGAATTAGTTGCGTACTGATAGTGCAGTGCCTGTTGCAATTTGGCAGCAGACATATTCTCAGCAAGAGCCCTTACATTGCGCTGGTTTTCCGGGGAGCAGAGCCCTTGCCCTGCGAGGGACGGAGCTGTCTTCTCCTTGGACTCAGAGCGGTGCGGTGCCGCTGGCAGCGTCCTACCCCTGCCGGGGCAGCACCCGGCCGGGACCGAGCTTCTCCCGCTGCGCCGGCGGGGCAGAGGATTCCCAGGGAGAAAGTGTGTGGTCTGTGACAAAACCAGAAAGCTACCGAGTGAAGCACAGCAAGCATGTATGTGATTTATAGCGCAGCATAACTTCTGAAAGGAGTTTAGGAGAAGTGAAAAGCATTATTCATTTCAGAGCATGCTCCTTATTGCCTCGGGGAGTTTGTGTACAGCTTTACCAAAGGCCTAATGAAAGCTTTACTCGGTGACTAATTTTTTTTCACACCTATTTCTCTCTTTATAAATATTTTTCTCCCCATCCCCCCCGCACTCCTTTTCATTTTGTTGAACACAGCAACACCTGCTGGCAGTGGTCCGGGAGTACTGCTGGAAAGACCCACTGATCTAACTCTTCAGACCAGCTGCCATTAAGCACTGCCAAGCCATATTAATGAGCTGCCTCTATTTTTACCCCTTCCTGCCAGAAAGGGCAATTGCTCTTGGGAAAGACTGTAGCTGGGTTTGGTTTTTTTCTTTCTTTCTGATTTTTTTTTTTTTTTTTTTTGTGTTAGCTTCAGAGTCCAGATAATCATTGTTCAATTGGGATTTCTAATTTAAATTCTGATACCACCAGCTGAGACCACATAAAACATTGGAGTGATG